TATGCATTACTTCCTTCAAATCTTTTATGCCGCATCAAATAGCCTACAGTTTTTTTATGACAATGCAATCCGTGTGTTCTATTTGAATAAAACATTTGGCTACAGCTGTATGGGATGCATACTTCAGTATCCAATGGTTAATGATTTTATTCAACCTGTACAGCGTGTAAGCCTAAAGAAACGGTTTGCTTCCATAGGATAACCTTTGGATGAAATCAGGATAAGGTAAAGAATACCACATGGTACAAACGTAGTTAAAACATCCTGAACATATATACACGAGTCTAACAACTTTCCTCTATGAAAAATACCTGATAGAATTCGCTAGCAAAACATATGGTTACAAATATAATAAATAATGTTTTAATGGCAGGAAATGAATTCTAGTTTAAAATGGTATAAAATAACACTTACTGAATCATACAAACTTATAGAGCTTATAGACACAATGTTTCGTCTAATGAGATGATCCAGTTTGATTTTGTTGCATTTAATGGCCTATTGGAGTTCAATGTCAGATAGTCCATCTATGTATGGTTGAACATTAAGAAAGACTTATTCACTTTCCTCACAGTTGATACCATTTTCCTCTGCGTTAAGAAGGTAAGAAAAGTATTGTTTCCAGGTAATCAATACTTTTCCTACAGTTACCTAACAATGTACATGTTCTCTCACTGACTTGAGAAAGCAAAGTGGCCAATTCTCTCATCAGTGAGACAATGTTAACATTGTCTCACTCTAATTACTTTGTCTCACTCCAGATTTGCAACGTGAAGGCACGAAATAGTGAGCGCGTAACATGCAGGCAACGTCGTATGCGTGCGAAATACGTTGGCAGCACTGGCTGTAAATCAGCTGGTCAGCTGTTTTACTGTTGTATTTGTCACTTCACATTAAATGTTATATTAAAAGTTCACTTCTGTGTAAAATTAGGTAATGTTTCTTCACAAATTTATTTGTTTTATGGTAACTGTAGGAAAAGTATAATGTGCAACTCGAGTGCAAAGTACAATTGCCTCACTCGAGAAACCATTCCTCACTCGCCTACGGCTTGTGAGTAAGGATTTCTCTCGAGTGAGTCAATTGCTCACTTTTCTCACTAGTTGCACAAATAACTATTTGTCGCTTCACACGTTAAGTTTCTATTTTCATCGGTATTGTTATTGGGGACAAACCCTTTCCTAAATTACCTCACTGACCTAAAAGAGCTCCTTTGATTTGTTGGGTGTCCTGTTTTTTCAGATTTTTTTTTTTTATTTGGTCTCATTATTTTTTAGTTTTTTGGCTCCAAGTTTCTTAACTATTTGCTTGTTAAGTTCATTGTTTTCATTTCTTCTTTCACTGGAACACTCAACGAACACTTGTTTGTTTATTTCAGGAACTGAATTAGATCTTCACAGGTATTACTGAACCATGGTTTATTTTTCTTCCGTCTTTCCGTTGATTTGATTCCTCGTTTGGCGGTCGTAATAATTTATTTTATTTTGATTCATCCCAGCTGTCATCAATATTATTATTCTCACCAGTCTTAAAGCTTGGTTTGTGCTTCTGATTTGAATGCTTTTTAAAACGTTTTTATTAGCTCGCTTTCTTGTCCGGTACAAATGCTGCAATCAATTTTATACTAACTTTCCGATGAGCTAGAGACTTGAAACTTGAAACATAGCTCACAAATGGATGACAGTGCAATATTATATAATTTAATTTTCATATTTCCCTTGGGCTACGCCCCATTGGCTTGTTTTTATTAGGTCGCTTTCCTACAAATTTTGATATCAATTTCAAACGAAGTTCCCGATGAGCTAGAGACTTGAAACTTGAAACATAGCTCACAAATGGATGACAATGCAATATTATATCATTTAATTTTCATATTTGCCTTGGGCTACGCCCCATGGGCTTCAAAATTGTCTATGTTTACATTTTTAAAGAATGTAAATAATATCAATTAATTTAAGTCAGCTGTAAATACTTAAATTTGACAGTTCGAAGAGCAGAGGCTAAGGGGTACAGGTTATGCTCCCAAGAGATTCTTTATACAAACAAACATTTCAAAATAAAGATAAACAATCTAGGCGTTTGTTAATAGTATCAGTTGTTATTTATTTATTCTTCTATAGAGTAAACAATAAATTAAATAGATTTATATATTTATAGTTAGTAGGTAGGCCATACATTCAATCTAATACATAATTATGAAAAGAAACTCAAATAAACCTTAGATTTCCCACATGCCTCTGCCTTAATCTGATATAGATGATTGAAATAGATTTTAAACTAAAAAGTAGAAAATAATTTATAAATGAAATTTTTTTTTAAACAAAACGTTTTTAAACACACTAAAAAGTAGCAAATAGTTTATAAATATGTGGGGAGTATAAATACTTGTAAGATTTAAAACTAAAAACGTGGGGTGCATGCAATTGATAATAATACATTAGTTCAATAGGTGAAGGTAATTGTAAATTATCTATTGCATGCACCCCACGTTTTTCGTTTTAAATCTTACAAGTATTTATACTCTCCACATATTTATAAATTATTTTATACTTTTTAGTGTGTTTAAAAACGTTTTGTTTTAAAAAAGTTTTTTATTTATAAATTATTTGTACTTCGGTTCTCATAAGTTTGGCGTAGTCTATAAATTCCAATACCTGTATCTTGTGTTTCCCTCTTCTCCCATGTTAGCCTTTGTCTTATTGTGAACTAGGTTATGGTTATCGTAGTTACATGATGCAACCTTTGACTATTAATACAACTTCAGTATCCAATAGTACATTTTTAGGCTTCACTTAAAAACTCGTATTGTCAGAGTGTTGAGGTTTTCAAGCGTATTATTTATTTATTTGGTTGTCATTTGTTCAGTTTATTGTTTACATGATGTATTAGGGGCTTGTTAGAGAAACCCAAGATAAATATTTTTTATTGAATATTTCATATTCAAAAAATTGCAATGAACTAAAAATATTAACCAAAGATGATATGACGCATGTACATTTTTTAATTTCTTAATACAAAGATTTTAAACATAAAAAGTGAGGTAAATCGTCAAGACGGAGTATTTTAATTTCACGCCATAGGGAAGTAACTTAACATCAACAATAACTTCAAATTTAATTTTTGTTATTTGTAAATTTACGACGAAGAATTTACGAAATGGCAACGAGTAGTAGCCTACTGTAGAAAAAGGCGAGTCTATCAAAGTCTTTTTAGTACATACGCTGTATCAGAAGCAACTCACAGTCATACTATGAGTTACATATTTTTTTCAAAAACATATGACCTTGATTTGCTGTAAAATCTGATTTGTCTAAATTAATAATCAAGGAAGCAAAGAGAGTATGTTTAATCTATGGTATTTATAGAATGTGACAGAATATGGCATTCATAGAAAATTTATAGGATGCCCTATGCAGAAGCAGGAAATTAGAGTCATATTTTCTCTAAAAAGACGACAGACTTGCAAACTGGCTTTTCGAACTTCAAAATATTTTACACCACATCCCTCCAGAAATATCCCTGCGAACATTTCTGCATTTACAAAGCCTTGTCTTTCCTAAAAAAAAACCCACAAGATGAATAATGCCCATAACTATGATAATCTTCCTCCCTGTCCAGTCCTGGCTGCTAGAGTTAAAATCATCCCTGGAAACAAAATATGGGCTGTAAAGATTATGTTTTTCTTTATTTTTATCATTTAATTTTGAATAACATTGTATTTTAGTTTTGGCGTAACCAATACACGTATATTATGTCTCTTTGGATAAATGAGTTATTGAGTATTATGCTAATTATTCCATATTACATAAAATATTTGTATACTTAGTCCCTTTAGCCATATTGTTATGATGATGTTTTTTTTGTTTTTACCGCGTAAGAAAATGAAATAGATGCGAGAAGTTTCTGAACTTTAAATTAGAAATGTAAAGAAAACGAATTTCCAGCAGACTATAATAGAAATTCGAGTATACACAACATAAGTATTGGAACTTTGATATCCCGTGTTACGGAGTCCAGTGGCAATTAAAAATCTCATTGCTTGCCACCGCTGTGATATGAGTGAGATGAGAATACACAATTTCATGTTTCTAGATGCCATTATTTTGCTAGTTGCGTTGATACAAGCGTTGATTGGTTGATTGTAATAACATATATTTATTATTACTGTATTAGCAAATCTTGTAAATAAATAAGAAAGCAAACAAAATCTGAATCTTTAAAATTTTGTAAAAAAATGTATGAATATTTTGTTGATCAACTGACGGAACAAACTGTTTGTTATTGCGCATTTTTATTATATTTTAGTGTAAAACGACAATTTTGGTGGTGATTGAGGTAGAATGCTGCAATCGTATTCTGGTTTGGAGTCGAGTACTAGGTACTAATAGCCAAGAACCATCACACAAGTGTATGGTAAAGTGGGAAAATATATAGACTTGTTTAAACATGAAGCGGAACAAAATTTTGTTTAATTTATTAAGATTTTTTATCTTAAACAGATTTGAGCTCCTACTCCATAGATTAACAAAAATAACTATAACACGTTGTTGATGCAAATTAGTTACTCTGTATTGATTCATATGAATTATGATGAGCAGTAGTCACAGCTCATGAAGAAAAGTCTCTAATATAGGCAATGACCAAATATCAAACCAGATTCCATTTTCAGAAATCTTGTGTTTTGGATATTCTATTTTTGAGTGGTCAACATTTGACTGTTTACTATGGTCCAATCACGATTAAAATTTTAGATTATTGTGACGTTAGCCATACGTATATTATAACGTAAGGCACTGTACACAAATATAACATACATTAACCACGGCTTACTTTTAAACTCAAGTCAATCGTTTGAAACGAACCACTCCTAACAATATACCTCGATCAGTAGTCAGTAGATAGGGGTCGGTATTATCAAAACATTACGGTCCTAAAGAGCAAAAGAGGACAGGGAGGGGATGGAGTGGAGGGTGGGGGGCGGAAGTGGCCAATAATGACAAGACTGTATAAAAACTTGTCACTATTCTAAGTATATTTATTACGAGTTGAGAAGACGCGGGGGGAAGGGTAATTGAGTAATGAGTCGTAGTGAGTTTTAAAAGAGATGGAGGGGAGGATAGGCGTGCCCGGCCAATGAGAGCAGGGGGCGTGGTCTCCCCCTCCCATCCCCACACAGAACACCGTCGTCACATGTCAGTTGTCACCACGGCGTCGACGGAGAATCAGAGTGACTCGTCGCGCGACTCTTTCCAGAGCGCCGCGATGTTGACCCCCATGCTCAGCTTCCTGGAGGCCTCGGGCTCTCCCCCGCTGGCCGCGCTACACTCCATGACCGAGATGAAGAACGGACACTCGTCGTCGGCCAACCCGCACGGCATAGAACACATCCTGTCGCGGCCGTCCAACGTGTCCGTAGCGCGAGGGTTCAACGTCGGGATGGCAGCGGCGGCGGGCATGGCTGCGGCCAGTTACTACAAACACCACAGCTCAGCTCTGCAGACACATCCCTTGGCCGAGCTGACTGGCCGCTCTACCATCTACTGGCCGGGACTGCAGGGCCTCGTCAGCAACCCCATGGCCTGGCGCGACCGACTGGCCAACAGTGAGTACAGTTACAGTTTACAGTAGGTAGCTTAACAAAGTGAAATTTATTGACAGTTTGATACTCTGTGTCAGGATCGTAATGAGGATAATTCATAATAAACTGGGAGCCAATAAGTCGCGGGAGATGCCTTCAATCACAACTCAAAGAAACATGGCAAAAATATTTAGCAAAATTTAGTATGTACAATAAAATATAATTAACACCCAAGTTTTGTGAAAGATACATTAACGGATCATACGCGCTGTGATTTTCAAAGTTATATTGCTAATGCATTTTTCGTGCAAGTATAGACCCTAATAATAGATTGAATCGCAATGGCGCCCTATAGGTTGGATGCCTTGTATACAAAAATAGGAGAATAAAATGCAATTTTAAGGCGAATAAGGACTGCTAACTTGATTCAATATATCACACATTTATTTACTTATTCTATTCCCGATTGAACTATCAGCATTAAATGATAAGTACCTATAAAATATAGTCTATAATCTTTGACAGATTAAAAACCAGGCGATAAAAGTTAATATAGCAAATTTTATTAATTCCATGTGCTAATTAAAATACTTACCATTGTCCTAAATAATGTACCGGTGTTTAGTAATTGTTAGACATATTTTGAATTTAATGTGTACTTATGACGGCCAAATACAGTTAATATAAAATATGTGTATGAAATAGATAACCACTGCCAAAAGATGAAAATTCGAGATGTTAGGTCAATTTAAATAAATCCTTCACAGGCTTTTGAGTTAATTAAGGTAATTCATTTACTGTACTCCCACGGCAAGCGGCCAATTTACGAAAATAGACATATCTGAACAAGATGTCGATAGATTATACAAAAGTTTCAAAATATAAATTTCCGCGGATAGAGTACCTATTTGCTATTGTTTTAGTTTATGTGCTATAGATTAATTGATTAAAATACTGTCCCTAAAGAGAATTTTTGACTGAAGTTAATATTTTTATATATCAAATACAACTATATTACATTTCCAAGTAATAATTAGTACTAGTGGTTATCCAGTGGTCGAAAACTCGACAAAAAATATGTAATGTGCAGGTTTCTCTATTTTCACCCAACGCTGTAAATAAAAAAATGCGATTGAAATTTTTTCATTTGTTTTGATTTTCTGTTTATATTTTCTTGTTATTTCGTCACCAGCATGGCAACCTATAATTCTCATGTTGATTGATTTAATTTCAAATTCATGTTTGTGCTTATTTTTGAGCCTATTTTAATAATTCATAAAGGGATTCTGCACATCTACAGGAAAATATCTCTCTAACAGTATGCGAAGATTTTCCCTGCGATGCACACGAGCTGAGAAAAAAGGTTTTAAAGAAACATTCTTGTCTATTAATAAACAGACTATTAATATATAGATTGTCATTTACCTAAGTTATTTATATTGAAAAATGACCCTACAATAAAATTACTATACGTTTAAAAACGATTTAGTGTAAGCAATAGAGGTTTTAAACAACTCCCCTCTTCTGTTTTTCTATTAGTATTTAAATTAAAACAATAATTATATAACATGTTTTAACGTAGTACATTATGTATAAAACCCAAAATAAGACTAGTACTGTACGCACAAATGATTAAAGCCAATGTGTTTAAACAGTTTTAATGAATTTAAAAAATAATACATATTATCATTAAATTCCTAACAAATAAATTCTTTATTGTTTGTATTAGGTGCTTAGGTCCAAAAAATAGTAGTACTACTACAGTAAATACTTAATATTTAAAAAGTATCATTACTATTCAACAATTCTACAAGATCAAACATGAAGCGAACATTATTATCATTATAACCATCATAAACTTTATAATTAAAGATGTTACCTTTATTATTATTATTAATATTATTATTATCGGTCGTATATATAGTGAAGTTCAAAAGTTCTTGTATAGCGTAAATACTAGTAACAAATTATTTAATGTGTACAATAGCAACCATTTTACCACATTTCACGTTTGTAATATAATGGGATTACCCTACAATTTGGGGATTTTCTAGATTAAACTAACTTTACGAAATTGAAAGTGCTCATTACTAAATAAATTTTCACAATGAATGAGGACTCTATAACTTTTGAATTTACTAACGCATTTAATTTTGTAATCTTAAATATTGGTTATTAATTTAATTAACTTTGGGTAATAAGCAAGTTGATATAAATTGTCAAACAATTGTATAAAATGTGACACTTCCTTTAATATTTTAAATAACTTTTTCAAATATTAATAGGCCTCCAGTGGATTTTGTACTGCTTGTAGATCTGCGTGGTTATAATTTTGCTATTAAATTACATAACGACGTATTTCAAAACGAGATTCCCAACAGCTGTTGTTATCACTATTACTATTTTCAAATTTATTATTTTGATAGAATTATAAGAATTTTTCATTTATTTCTTCTTGTGTATTATTTTTATTGTATAATGTCTTTAATTCTTTATCATCACAGGGAAGAGTGTATGTATTTTGAACTTAGATTTATATTAATTTGAGTTTGTATGATTATTAGTAATTCAGAGCATACCATCAGTATGACTGTTGAGTTTATAGCACGTGTTGTATTTGTCGTTGTTCTTAATGTTGCACTTTATTTTTTTATTTATTCCAACGGCAAGATTGCCAATTTACATGCATTATAAATAAAACTTAATAACTTCTCGAACAGCATTGTACGTGGCTTATGTGGCCTTAGTTACTAACAAGACTACAAGATCGCGCCACTCATCCTACACTCATCTCCATTCGTACTTGGCTTAAAATACCTACTTTGTATGGTCGCCATTTTAATAAAAAGTATTTAAAGTAAGTGTTATTAAATTTATGGAAAGTAAATAAAAGAAACGTCTTAACATATATTTACGTTTATACTGTTACTCACAACACGGTAAATATACATTAAAGATGGTAAGTGGTGATCGATTTCGATTGGATATATTTACCGTCTTGTGAGTAACAGTATAAGCGTAAATATATGTTTGAAGTGTTATGAGACGTTTCTTTTATTTACTTTCCAGGAAACTTAAATCTAAAATAAAATTACCAATTAATTGATAACCCTTCCTCGTATTATGGTTTTATTATTTCAAACTTTATAATTGTGTATTGAAGAAACTTGTTAATGTAGCCTATAGCTTCTGCTTGTAACTTAAACAAAGCCTATATTTATTTATTTACTCACTCCTTTAAACTATTTATTCAATGAATACAACGAAAGTGTGCTATATAAAACAGTTTATTAGCTATGAAAAATATTTCAATACAAATTTTATCTTTACAGCCATAGACAATATCAGAAACAATTTATACTCTCTAGCTCCCGTATAATGCGACTAACTCTCCTTTTACTTTTTTTTGAGTTTCACTGTTAGAATTAAACATAATTATAGACACACATTTTTTACTGAATAAACACAAATACTTTAATGTTTATAGCACAGAGGATTACAAATTATACAGGGTGTCCCGGAACTCTCTACCAATATTTTAGGGCATTGCTCCTGGGTAAGAAACATACCTAAATATCATATTTAAATTGTCCGGAAGTCCTTGGTTACTCACACAGCCGCCATTTTGTTTTTTCAGTTATTAATTTTTTTCTTAAGAGTGGTTAAACATACCAAATGGAAACTTTGCACAAACTTTTATGACAACTAGACAAAGCTACCAAAAAATTATTAAAATTTTTTAAATTCATAAAACAAAATCGCGGCCGTTTAAAATTTTGGTAAAATCAACGGTGTTCGAGTTATTTAAGAAACAAAATTTTAAATGACCGCCATTTTGTTTTATGAATTTGAAAAATTGTCATAATTTTTTGGTAGCTTTGTCTAGTTGTCATAAATGTTTGTGCAAAGTTTCAATTTCATATGTTTAACCGCTTTTCAGAAAAAAAATAATTAGTGGAAAAAACAAAATGGCGGCTATGTGAGTAACTAAGGACCTCTGGACAATTTAAATATCATATTTAGGTATGTTTCTTACCCAGGAGCAAAGCCCTAAAATATTGGTAGAGAGTTCCGGGACACCCTGTATAATTTAGATACAAATTTATAGTCCATTTCTCCCGTTTCTTACCACCGAGCCGACTCTCGCCTTGCTTAGTTTGACACGCTACACATTCGTCGCACAGTTCACAGGCAGATTAAGATAATAATGAAGACATTCCAGTACGTCAACCTATTTACCGAAAAACAATAATAACATTTTAAATAGTCAAATAAACAACAAAGCGTACGGGATATCCAACAAATCTAGTCTTCTATACAATTTAATAAAAACCAGCCCATTAAATTTTGTATATTAAAGCCTTGGCACTTGATAGTTCAAGAAGCCTAAATGGATAAAAGACACCACACTGAGGGAGGATTATCAACCACACTATACCCAAAGTGTTCATACAAACTCTGAGGACTGTATTCTATATATTTATTTTTTTGTAATAATTTAACGATTGGCTCGAATAGCAAGCTTGTGCGCAAATTCATTCTAATTGTATTTTTATTATACTTCATTGTGGATGTTAGCCTCCGGATCGCCAAATAATATTAAAAAGGTTTAATACCTGCTATCAAGCAATCCCTTTAATCCCTTCAATCCCGTTTGAAGAAAGAAGAATTCCTTGTACCGCCCGAAGATGACTCCACATAGGAGTCGAAACTAGTTGCGACTGCAATTAAATGGATTGCTTGATATCAGGCATTCAAACATTTTTTAATATTATTATACCTTTAAACATTGGTAAATAACATGTATATTGCCTTGAGCGTTTAAATTTAAGCAAATAAACGCCAAACCTAATATCAGAATACAACAACAAAAATCACGTTTTTTGATATTTTACACACTAAGAGGAAAGATTTTGTTTACCTTAAAAAATATAGTATTAGCTTATGGCATTAATGAGATAACGCCTAATGTAGAGAATGTATGGTGGATTTCTATACATCATAAATACTGTGGCATCAACGAG